AAAATTAAAAAAAAAAGAAATATGCAAAATTATTAAAAAAACAACAACATGAAACATAAAATACAGTAAAAAGTAATTTTCCTTCCTTTTATTCCTCCCCTTTATACATTCATGGTCCACCATATCCCTCCGCAGAGAGAACAAGTTGGAGGGACCCACTTTAAGAAATAAGCAAACGTTATTGACTAAAAAATACAATTGTCATTAAACTATAAATGATAAGCAGTTTATAAAGATACACCAATTTTATTTTTTTTTAAATTTTTTTATTTTTTATCTTTTTTTTTGGGCAGAACTGGGGATTCAACTCGGGCCCTTGTGCTTGCCAGGGAAGCGCTTATTCCACTGAGCTACCTCTTTGGCCCCCAAAATAAGCCAATTTTAGAGTAGCCTCGTCATGTTTTTTTTCTAATTAAAGAGTGAGAATTAGAGGCTCATTTCAAAGTCAAAACCAAACAATTCCTTAGAGATAGTTATGTATTTTTTGGTACTTTTTTTCCGTTTATTTGTTGACTAGTTTCTGTTGTGTAAAATAAAGAATGTTGATGCTTCAAGAAGCAAGGACTTTCATATTAAATAAATGAGTGTCAGCCATTAGATAGCATAGTACATGTTAATTTATTTTGTTTTATTTTAGTTTATTATCGTTGTTTGGTACCGGGGACTGAACTCAGGACCTTGTGCTTGCCAGGCAAGCATTTATACCACTGAACTGTCTCCCCAGGCCTCTTTTCTATTATATTATGAATGCATCCTAAATCCACTGTTAAAATGGGATGCTCTTGCAAAAAAGAAACCCTACGTAAGCTAGGTAATGTAGCATTTCCTGTTTCTTTAAACAATATAATTGATTATTCAAGAAATTTCAGATATAAACAAAAACTCTTGTTTAAAACCAGAAATAGTTGGGGCTGGGGAGATGGCTCAGTGGAATAAGTGCTTCCCTGGCAAGCGCAAGGGTCTGAGTTCAATCCCTGGTTCTGCCAAAAATAAAATACATAAAACCAGAAGTAGTTCTGAAACTGTTTTCAGAGTAAGAGGTGGTAAGGCTAAAGCGGCATTTCTCAGCTCAGGCACTGTTGCTTTTCAGGCCTGATAATCCCTTGGGACGTGAGAAGGGCTTTCCTGTGTTCATAGGACGGGCAGCAGCCCTGCCTCAGCTGCCGAGGTCCTCACAGCCTCTTCCTCTGTCCCCCAAGTATGGCGACCAGAAATACTTCCAGACACTGCCAAGTGTCCCTGGTGGACAGGGAAAGACGCAAACTGTCTCCAGTTGGAATTCACTATTTGAAGAGTATGCGTAAAGAGAATGTGTGTAGGATGGAGTTACATTTATAGCAGTAATAAAAAAGAATGAATTACCACGCCGAAACAGAGTACTTTTCACAGCTGACACATAAAAACTTACAGTCAGTGAGAAAGAAGGTGTCTTTAGAGAGATGGCAACCTAGAAACCGGAAAGGGCTGCTTTATGTCTGGTGAGTTACAGAGATGGATTAGTAGGAGATTTGTCCTGTGTGTCTGATACAGTTTATACCACTGCTTTTTAAAAAAATCAGTAAATATGATCAACACACAGTTCTAATCTCCTAGCCAGTCTGTAAATAAATGCCCTGTGCTATGAATTTCCTTGTAGAGGAACCATGTCCTTAACCAGCAGCTAGATCTTATATAGTCAGAAGCATTCTAGAAGGGTTTTTTTTTTTTTTTTTTTTTTTT